CCAAGATCTATTGACACGGTTCAGCCAAGAGGATCTGAGCACCATCAAACAACATGGCGAAGAGCTGTGGAAGCCAAGCTGAAAAACCTGGGGCACAGCTGAGGAACCGTTGAAAGACTTGCCAGAAACAGACAGGAGTGGAGGAGCTTCATCACTGCCCTAAACGCCAGAGGTGTAATAGGAACATGATGATAATGATGATGATGTACAGGAACTGCTGCAACCACTGCTATATGAAATTCAGTTTCTGGAGCGTTTGGTTCACATTCAGGATCCAGAGCAAGATTTACATTGTCTCCAATGTTATCTTTAGCTAGATTCCATTGATTGATGTGACCCAGCAGGGGATGTTTGTCAGTGCTGCTTAGTGAGTTATTTTTGGAATCGATGACCCTGAGTCTCAACATTTGTCTGGATAATTGTACAGTGTACAAACATCCCATTAGGGAGAGGTAAAGAATGATCTCCATCCTTTCATTTTATGCTCGCAGTACAGGCTCCGGGGCTGAGAGATTGTTGCTTTTGGGGTTTTAAGGTCAGCACACCCTCTGGACTTTCAAATTTTTGAAGTGCTGCTCAAATTTTATCTTACTATTTAAGAAATATGTTTTTTTACCTAATTCCCAGGGTTATATTATTAAATTAATTGTCTTGCAGTGGTTATAGGTGATGCATTTGATTATACATTTGGAGTGGAATTTTTATTAAAATAGCATCTGAAATCTGATCAGTTGCTTCAAGAACATTAAGTATTTGAACACATGCAAATCTGAGACTGGAGAGCGGCTTAGCGGCAGTATAAATTGTTAGAGCCTAGGGATTACTTGTTTGTAACACCATTTATTCTGCTGTCACCTCCAAGTGACTATTTAGATATTAATAAATTTGTCATTTACATACACAGTGACAATTATACAGTCCCTTGTGTTTTGTAACTCAGTGTATATGCAGGGCTTAAACTTTTATTTATTTATGTTTAAAAATCCCTCTCCTCCCTCACCCCAACCCTGCCACACGAAAAAAAGAGAAGAAAAAGAAGGCCAAAGCTCCCAGTTAACATGGATTGTCAAAGCCCTGCACTCCAGGAGACTGGCCCCCTAGCAAGCATCAGGATCTTGGTGGTCTGTTAATCACCTCTTTAAAGAACTCCTAGAACACTAGAAGTTAAATGTGGGTCATTTTATATTGGATCTGGCACACAGGGTACAGGGTGAGCTGTGCTTTAGCCCCCGTAGAGTCCTTCCCAAGTGCACCTCTCTGGTGACGGGTTTCAGAACTTTCACCCCTCTCTGCATGGCACCATATGGGCAGGGCTACACGGAGGTCAGAGGTGTGATTGCAGCACGGGTAGCCATACCTGAGCCAGCCTGACTCTAGCTAACCTGGGCAGCAGTAGCAGCCCAGACGTCAGCACGTGCAGACTGTCCGAGGCCTGGTCTACCCTGGGGGCCGATCTAAGCTACGCAACTTCAGCCATGTGAACAACGGAGCTGAAGTCGAGGTACTTAGACCTACTCGCCGCGGTGTCTTCACTACGATGAGTCGACGGCTGCCGCTGCCCCGTCAACTCTGCCTGCGCCTCTCGCGGCGGTGGGGTACAGGAGTCGACGGGAGAGCGCTCGGGGGTCGATTTATTGCGTCTAGACTAGATGTGATAAATCGACCTCTGCTGGAGCGATTGCTGCCCGCCCATCCGGCGGGTAGTGTGGACGCACCCCACGGGTGTACCCAGGATCCTGACTGTGCTTGTACAGCCCATGCCGCCACAACTTCGCTGCTGTTAGTACCCGAGCTACCTAGACACGAGGCAGCTCAGGTATGGTCGACGTGTGCCCCAATCCCACACCCCTGCTTGCAGTGTAGACGTGCCTCACGAGTGGGTGTGGGCTTCAGTCCCTCAACCGTCCCTTTTGTTTGGCATGTGTGAGCCTCTAGGAGCCTGTGACAACAGCTGACTGAAGTGACTGAAAAACAGGTTCTTCAAAACAGTATTATCTATCAGCCAAAGGCAGATAGCAAGCAGAGAAAAGGTAAAATAACAAAAGACCTAAATGTCTGGGTCTTACCTAAATTTATTCTTTTTTCTTAGCCCAGACACCCCTTCTCCTGGCCTGGGACAGACAGCCCGGCAGCCCCTGCAGCGTTCTCTGTGTGTCTCCCTGTTCCCCATCCCCCTTCCTCTCTAAGACAAGGGTCTTAACTGTTTTTGGACCTTCTTGAGGTCTAGGCTGTGGCTTTGGCAAAACAACTGTATGAATTTGCTGGTGCCCAGAAAAGATCTTCCCAATTAATAAACTAACCCGTGTTACCTTAACTCCCTTGAAGGTGTTTACCCCAGATGTCTGATCTCCACCATTCTTTCATTTCCTGTTGGCTATTCATAACAACCCCTTTCATTTGACTCTGTGTAGTCAGACAGAATATCAAGCAGATAAACTGCAGTACATATATTCATACAAAATAATACAGCTATTTCCCTTGTTTTCCACAGTAATGATACCTATGTGTCTGCTTTGATGGTGTTTTACTGATTTTTAACCTAAAACTGGAAACCTTATGTCCTGTGTACTGCAGTACCATTAAGGCACATGTGCAAGGGAAATGAATGAGCTCTAATGAGGACAAAGATTATTTTCCTTTACCAGTAGGAAGCAACTTTCTCATTCTGGGAGCCTGGAGCAAGATTCATACTGAAGTAACTTGTCTCATCCCACAGTAGCTTTTTATGCAGTAGCTTTTGTAGAGTAGCTTCCTGGAACTAGACTGACATTAGTGTTGGTGCCCTTCTGAGGCTTTGAATAACTCAGCAACAAGTGACTATCAGAGAAGGCATAGAACCCTCCTGGCTACAGTTTGTTGTTACCTATGTCATTGGCGAAGGAACAGCATGTCTTTGGTAACAATAGTTAACTGTATTTAGCGATACAGTCACTGGGCTGGGTAAGGCAATGAGCATACTGCATGTCACTGTAATTTTTGGGTGGGGGGAAAAGGCTATCGTAGTTGCAGTGTATTTATGATTCCTTCCCCACATCTGCCCTCTTTATAAGTTGAAGTTCAGTTCAACAGGGAGTTCCACTTACCTGGTATGGAGAGGGGACCTGCTCTGTCTCATTTAAATGTTGAGCACTAGATGTACTTTAAAAAGACAAATGCATGTGTATTTAACCTTTTCCCAATTCCTTTATTGCAGAATAGCCAAATCACTCAACCATCTTGTTCAAAGAAATGGTTTCACATTTTAAGTTGTTTGCACTGATTATAAAAAAAATTACAACTAAAATGTAGGATCTAAGCAATTTTATCAGCTACGTTATGTATTTGATCTCACCGAAGATGGATTTTTTAATAACATATAGAGATAAGTCTGGCTCAGTACTGTACCTTAACAATTCAACTTCTAATACACTAAGGCATGGTCTACACTACAGAGGCAGCTTACGTCGACCCAACTCTGTAATCTACTAAGCTACAATGTAGCTTGCACCGATGTAATTCGCCGACTACAGCGACTTAATAATTCCACTTTCACAAGAGGCGTAGCGCTTAAGTCAATGTAGTTTGACCAGTGCCCCCCCAAAAGGCTTTATGGAAATATACTTATGAATGTATATATGACATAACTAGAATATGTTTTATGCTACATATGCCATGTAACATATCTCTGTAAAGGTTATGATCTACTGAATCTATTAATCCTATTTGTATGCAGGTATCATTTTTGTGTTCGAAGTTATGAATATTGGGTGTGTACTGGCTTGATTTTTAAGTAGCCTTTGTAAAGCATTTAGTCAGCTTCTTGAGAAAGGTTTCAGAGGAACAGCCGTGTTAGTCTGTATTCGCAAAAAGAAAAGGAGTACTTGTGGCACCTTAGAGACTAACCAATTTATTTGAGCATGAGCTTTCGTGAGCTACAGCTCACTTCATCAGATGTTTACCGTGGAAACTGCAGCAGACTTTATATACACACAGAGAATATGAAACAATACCTCCTCCCACCCCACTGTCCTGCTGGTAATAGCTTATCTAAAGTGATCAGCAGGTGGGGGGATGTGAGAAAACCTGGATCTATGCAGGAAATAGCCCGACTTGATTATGTAAAGAGTTGTCACTTTGGATGGGCTAGCACCAGCAGGAGAGTGAATTTGTGTGGGGGGGTGGAGGGTGAGAAAACCTGGATTTGTGCTGGAAATGGCCCACCTGCTGATCACTTTAGATAAGCTATTACCAGCAGGACAGTGGGGTGGGAGGAGGTATTGTTTCATATTCTCTGTGTGTATATAAAGTCTGCTGCAGTTTCCACGGTAAACATCTGATGAAGTGAGCTGTAGCTCACGAAAGCTCATGCTCAAATAAATTGGTTAGTCTCTAAGGTGCCACAAGTACTCCTTTTCTTCTTGAGAAAGGTATGTGCAAATTAAGTGCCCAATCAAGAAGCACTTAAGGGACAATGGATCTTGGAATGCTCCAATCCACATAAGAAGTCTACTTGAGGATGTTCAAGATAGCATGTGATTCATGGCTGCTACCTGTAAGTTCTAAGTCATGCATGGACATGTGACTGGCCCATGTGACTCCGCAACTCCATTTTGTAGCTGGATTCTACACAGGGGGAGGGAGGGGTGTCCACTTAGAGGAGAAAGTCTATTAAAACCCCTGGGAGACCCCTCCATTTTGTCTTCATCTGGCTAAAGAGATAGTCTCTCCAACCCCAAGGATACCTGAGAGAAACTGGAACAAAGGACAGTAATTTCAGGGGGGCGTGAGTGATTGCTGGACCCAGACTACAAGGAGACTAGTCTGTAAAAGGACACTTACTGGAATTGGTGAGGTTTTATCTGTATTCAGTTTTCTAGACATAGACTTGCATGTTCTGTTTATTTTGCTTGGTAATTCACTTTGTTCTGTCTGTTACTACTTGGAACCACTTAAATCCTACTTTCTGTATTTAATAAAATCACTTTTTACTTACTAATTAACCCAGAGTATGTATTAATACCGGGGGGGGGGGGGAACAGCTCTGCATATCTATCAGTGTTATAAAGGGCGAACAATTTATGAGTTTACCCTGTATAAGCTTTAGAAGCAGATTTATTTGGGGTTTGGACCTCATTGGGAGTTGGGCATCTGAGTGTTAAAGACAGGAACATTTCTTAAGCTGCTTTCAGTTAAGTCTGCAGCTTTGGGGCCCATGGTTCAGACCCTGGGTCTGTGTTGGAGCAGACTGGCTTGTCTGGCTCAGCAAGACAGGGTGCTGGAGTCCCCAGCTGGCAGGGAAAGCAGGAGCAGAAGTATTCTTGGCACATTAGGTGGTCGTCCCAAGGGGGTTTCTGTGATCCAACCTGTCACATAGTTAGGTTGACAAAGTGACATTGTAGACATTGCGTTGCTTACATTGACTGTTACTGCCTGTCAGGAACTGTCCCACAGTGTCCCACACTGGCAGTTAAATTGGTGCAAGCACTCCAGGTGAGGATGTGCACTGCCGACACAAGGAGCGTCATGTGGACATGTAAAACAGATACAATTACTGCGGTGGCCGTACGTCGACATAACTTAGGTCAACTTCATTTTGTAGAGTAGACTTGCCCGAAGGTACTTCTCTGCATCAGGCTGTCTTGTGACACGCATGTCTCAATAGCATCAAGTTTCTATTTAACAATTCTTTGCGTACACTTCCTCACTAATAAAATGTAACCATTTCTTTCAGACCTATCCATAGGGTGACTGGAACTCTGCCAAGCACCCTCCTATAACCTTGCTGACTGATATCTGTCTCTTTTTGGCATTGCCTGAGAAAGAGGATCTCATCTTTCCTCATCTGGCCAGATGCTCAAACCATTACGTCTACTCCAGACTCAGCTTCCTCAGAGGTCAGTGTCCTATTTTCCAAGGCCCCCAACAAGAGGCATTCCCAGCTTAAAGTCTCCATGTTATCTTAAATCCAATTATCTTAAGTTAAAGCAAAAATTATTTGTTACAAGGAAGAAATTAAAGAGGAAATCACAAGCACAGCTAGCCGAAATACTACACAATGGTTAGCTAGCTTGGCTCTCGGTTCAGTTACAGGATAATATAAAGTTTTCATCTTAATATATGATATGGTCCTTTGTGCTACCCAGCTGCAATCAGGACCTATTACAAAGGACCATATCATATGTTAAGATGAAAACTGCTGAGTTGAGAAACCTAGTTACATCACAGTGTAGATGGGACTTATGTTCTCAAGTTATGCTAGAGCCTTGGAGCCAGATTCGTGTGGCTAAAGTGGCCAGTGGAGAATGCCCTTGTGGAGGGGAACTCTCCACTGACACAAAGCTGCTGGAGGCAGCATTGCAGATGTAGGGTGTTAGCTCAGAGAGAGGGGGCAGGGAAGTGGTGTTGCAAAGTTAAAATCCCATTTTATAAACTTTTGCGACTTTTGTGTTTGAGACCAGGCTTCAGATGTAGCTTTGGTTTTTTTCTTTGTCTCAGTGTTGAAAAGAATACTCATTAGCACTTCAGAGTCTGCTTATTAAATTCATGATCTACATTTGACCACCAGGTGTTTGCTAAAACATTCTAAGCACGTTTCTTTTCAACTCCTCCTGAAAGAGACTATCGGTGATACTCAGATGGTCATAGTCAATTTGTTTAGCATAACCCTAAATATTAAGCATATTATAAGCAAATGCAATTTGTACTGGATGCCCCAGGCGCTGGCCAGGATTGTAATCCAATTTCTCTTCCAAAGTGAGTTAGCTTCAACAGTTTTTCTCAGTTAGCTTCAGTGAAGTCATAGCTTTCCTTTCAAAACAGGGCTTCTCTCATAAACCAAGGAGATATCCCGGGAAGCTGCCTTGGCATCATAACAGCCAGCTTTTTCTTCTGAGTCTACTGGGCAAAGATCCTGTTTACACCACCTGAGTAGGGGATGCAAATAACTTTTAACCAAAGCCATTGTACAGACAATACCTGTTGCAACCTAGCCCCTAGTAGTGTTACAATCTCTAGAAAGGCATGCTGTGGACAGACAATTCCCAGGAACATCATGGAGTGGATTGATCAGATTTCACTGATACCACAGCAGGACTGTTACTTGTCTCCATCAGCAGCGGATGTTGAGCTCTGGGTCTGTCTCAGTACAAGGGGTGACTGACTACTAGAAAGGGATTGGATCACATTAGCCTGCTGAATATACCTAGGGGATCTACTTGGAAGAAAGGGGCTGGAGAAAGGGGTTCTCTTTACCTCTGAGCTGCGTAGGTGTCTGTGGAGCAGGCGTCAGGCCCGGCTGCGTGTTCGAGTAAGAGAGCCCCTACAAAAAGCACACATCAGGTTTAAATGTTTCCAGACTCCCATCCCGATAGCAAAGTGTAATGGAAGGGTCAGGTGTTCCTTACTCCAGCACAGCATCTTGCTGGTTCATACCTGAATCTGCTTCTGCTCGAAAAGGAGGCAGTGACCAGCATTCTTTACACCAGCACTGTTCAACAACATTTGAAAACCAATCTCCTCCAGCTGAAACCTACCCCAGCATCCCTGAAACTGAACATCCCAGGACTAATTCAGAGTCATTTTGGAGTCTCTGCAGGGGATTGTTTGTCAGTTCTCTCCATTACCTGTGTAGATCCTTGCCAGAGTGTAGGCAAAGTCTCTTGCTGCTAGCTCCATTGCAACTGCCCCCTTGGAGCCAACTCTTTGAGTGAACTGGCCAAGCCTGTTGAGAGCATCCTGAAGTAGCTGCACAGAAGATTCCAGTTCTGAAATGCTGGAAGCCAGCTCTAGCTTCCCCTGCAAAGAAAGGAGTTACAGGAAAAGTTATCGAGTGCCTCCTGTAGGGAAACATAGCTGCTGAAATCCTAATGAAAGAGATCAAACCACTGCAATTCTCGCTGAGGCTTCCACAGGGAAGCTAATACCACGCCAGCCAACACTGACAGAACGCTGCTCAGCTGCACTTAGGAGAACATTGTTTGAAGGAAACTTGCAGCATTAGTTTAATAACTGAAAAACACGGTGAGCTAGATCCACCATGCTGGCATTCCAGCAAGATGTGGAGACCAACTCATGTACACGCTACCCTGTAATTACATATCTGTATCAGGCAGAAATTATACATGCCGATCACCACTGCATTTTATCTGTCTTACATCCAAATATTTCCACTTTCATGAAGATGTTAGAGCTGTGCTCAGCGTGTGACTGCAGCTACAGCTCCCCTTGAGTTAAAAGGCAGGTTTGAAGAATCCATCCCTTACGAGCCACATATATGTGGGAAAGCCCAAAGCAGCTGGCCTGTGCTCAACTCCCTGAGCATGGACGGCAGAGCTCTGGTTGTTCCAAGGGACTTTGCTGGCTCCTCTGATTAAGCTGCTATTTCCCCAGTGGCCTAGCTGTATTGTGGAAAACATGACAGAAGGTCAGCGGTGAGAGCCTAATACCACTCTACACTGGCTTCCTGTTAATAATACAGTGTGCTCATTGCTGCCTAGGTGTGTGAGATCGAGTGTAGCCTTTAATCTGGGTTTCCCATGCTGTCGCATGGTGAGCTCTCAGAAGGGCCCTTGATTCACGTTACATGTATTTGTATCCAATATATAAATGTCATTAGAACATCACTACGCCATATTAATGAGACTGAGTTTCGATCTGCATTTCCATTGTCATTGGGTTGAAAAACTTGCAGTGTGTGTGTGTGAAATCCTGGCCCCTTTGAAGGCAATGGGTGATTTGACATGGATCTTAGTGAAGCCAAGATTTCACACTGGGTCTCGGCCCAAGCGTCTGGGGTGCTATGTTTTACAGAACTGTACATCTTTACCCCAGTAGTTCTGCAATTTGTGCTTCTCTGCTGTAGTACAATATGACTGAAGGGTTACAATGGTTAGATATGCAAAGAGGAGCTGGTATTTTAGAGTAGCATTTTGTAGAAGCAAAAACAACGAGGAGTCCTTGTGGCACCTTAGAGCCTAACAAATTTATTTGGGCATAAGCGTTCATGGGCTAGAACACACTTCATCAGATGCATGGACTGGAAAATACAGTAGCAGGTATATATACATAGTACATGAAAAGATGGGAGTTGCCTTACCAAGTGGGGGGTCAGTCTAACAAGACAATTCAATTAACCGTAGAATACCAAGGGAGGAAAAATCACTTTTGTAGTGGTAATGAGGGTGGCCCATTTCAAACAGTTGACAAGAAGGTGTGAGTAACAGTAGGGGGAAATTAGTATGGGGAAATTAGTTTTTGTAATGACCCATCCACTCCCAGTCTTTATTCAGGCCTAATTTGATGGTGTCCAGTTTGCAAATTAATTCCAGTTCTGCAGTTTCACATTGGAATCTGTTTTTGAAGTTTTTTTGTTGAAGAATTGCCACTTTTAAGTCTGTTATTGAGTGACCAGGGAGATTGAAGTGTTCTCCTACTGGTGAGCTGTAGCTCACGAAAGCTCATGCTCAAATAAATTGGTTAGCCTCTAAGGTGCCACAAGTACTCCTTTTCTTTTTACGGCTACAGACTAACATGGCTGCTACTCTGATTCCCAGCAATGTTCCTTCCTCCAGAGATGCCCCTCGGAGTGGATTCCAACTCCTATAGACAACTACGTGAGGGATGGAGCTAAACCAAATGGTACCGGGTAGCAAGAGAGGCAGTAACAATAGGGAACAAGACTTGTGCCTAGAATGGTAACAATCCATTACTTTTATGGAGGTTAAACTATCTCCCTGAAAGGCGGGTGTCACATGCTGGCTGGCCCTTTAACAGACGTCTTCAGCCTTGCCTGTGAGGTAGAAGTTATCGCCCAGCTGATTCTGATCTGGGAACTTCATTACAACTAGTGACCCCTGCTGTGAAAAGGTCAGAGTGGACTGCAGAGGAAGGAGCTCCCTCTCCCTGGGAAGGCCCTGGGGAAGGCAGGCTGAAGTGACAGTCTGGAAGTAGGGAGGTCCCTAGCAGAAGTTGCCGGGGTCCCCAGGAGGGGAGGCAGCGCGGAACCTGCAGGGGAAGCACTGTGGGAGGGGAGGCTGTGCTCTGCTGAAGAAGTGCACAGGGCCCCGGAGCAGGGAACTGCAGCAGAGCCCAGGAGGGGAAGAAGAATCTTTGTTTGGATGTTTATTGGAATTTTCACTTGGACTTTCATTACCTTGGAAGGGGACTGACCCTAAGAGGTGACCTGGCTGGAGGGCTAGGCCATGGAAGATGAAGACAGAAACAGGCCATCACAGGTCAAAGTGGTAGTCCACAGGTGGCATGAAAGGCGAAGATCTCTGCAGCCCCACACTCTGATGCCAGGGAGTGGTATGACAGTGAGTGGAAACAGTGGGTAATATAAAGACAACCCAAAATAAACCCAATTTTTAGAGGCCAGGAGAGTTGGGGCACTGGCAGCTCAGAAACAGGTTGTGTAACACCCATATGTCAAACCAGGATTTTGGTCTAGAAGCCCAGTCTATGCAATAGTGCTTGGTACCTGGATGCAGAGAAGACCTGCTGTCTCCTGACTAGACAGATCTGAGCTTGGAAGCCCCAAGTGGAATAAGCCTCGACAGGCCCAGCTGGCTGCAGCATGGAGAGATGCAATAAGACAGCCATTTAGCCATGCTTTGCTTGGTGTCACTCAAACCTACTGGAATAGTGTCAAATGAAATGCAAAGCTGGGTGGGCTTTTTAAGGGCTTCAGTCCACTCCAGAGAAAGCTTTGGGGCATTTTTCACATTGTTTGTTGAGGCTCTTCCGTGGGATGGCTATGCAGGCATGGGGAATGTTGACAGGAGAATTGGTTCAGTAAGTCAAACCTTTTTCACCACCTACAGCTCAAGGATGCAACGGATAAAGTAGTGCACGGTTGTCGAAACCAAGAGCCTTAGTTGGAGAGCTGTCAAATCCCCCCAGGGTCTTTCACTTCCCAAATCACAGCCATAAGAAAGGAACATGGGATGCCAGGCGGCAGCAGCCTCAGCACTGAGTGAGAGTCGGGGAGATGCCTGGTTGGATGCTATCAACTCAGCACTCTGAAGCCAGTGGTGTTCCCAGCAGGTCTTGCTGTAGGAGCAAGAAGCCAAGAACGAGGGTCCAGGGAGGTGGTACCTCTGGATGATCAATGTTGCTTCAAGTGAACAAACCTGCACTCCAGAGCAGAATGCATCTAGCACCTGGCCTTGGCTTTTGGTGAGAGAGCGCAGCACGTCAAGTGAGAGGATATTTGTCGTTCCCTCCCAGATGGTCAGCACCTGTGAAGGGGGAGGGACAGGCAGGAAAAGCAGCCGTTATCTGGATTTCTTACCAATGACAGGAGCTCTCAGACTGGTCTCATCCACACATCCCATAGGGACCATAGGTAGAGCTGTCAGGCATGGAGTCAGGGGAGTGGATGAGCAAGAAGAAGTGGAACTGCTGAGCCAGAAAGAGCCGATGTGCAGGACTGGGGGGGAGAGAACAAGCCGGAGCTTCACAGTGCTTGCAGAACACGAGGTTAAAGGCTGGGGAAGGAGGACGGGGCTAAAGGCTGGTGGCTAGGCAGATGGAGTGCTGTGAGAGTGGAAGGGAGGGAGAGAAGAGGGCTGTGAGAGCAGATGAGGCTGAGGTTGAATGGGATATGGGAGGGTGGCATGGCAAAGCCCAAAGAGGAGACGCAGGCTGGAGAGGGAATGAACTGTGAAGGGAGGTGAGGAGGGCTTGTAGGGGAGGTGAGAGGGGGAGGCCAAGTTTATGGGAGCAGCCCGGGGGGGGGGGAGGGGGTGTGAAGCAGGAGGGGTCGGTTCTCTAAGGGAGGGGTGAACCCATATGAGTGGAAGTCAGTATGTGGCCGACAGCTCAATAGCGCCCCTGAGCAGAAGTCAATCACGAGTGACAGGACAGGGAATGGCCCATCAGGACGAGAAGAACAATGACAGACTGGTCTGTTTTATCACAGTGTTAGAGCTCTGTGGTGATGTGGGGTCCAAAGGCAAGGCTGAGGGGAGCCCGACAGGGGCTGGCAAATGGGCAGAGAACAGCCATGACATTAGGCAGGTAGGGAAGGCCTGGCTGCATGAGCATACACATTTGGAAATCTGTCTTTGGCAGAGAGCCAGACAGTGGTGCAGCGCTGCAGAGGGAATGCCTGAGGGGCACCAAGTGAGGAGCTATGGAGAAGGACTGTCGTGCTTTGTTCGTGTTTTCTTACCTGGGCATCTCGAAGTGCAACTGGCAAGCCTGTGTCCTCCATGTAGCCCTGCCCTCCAAAACACTCCAGTCCCTCAGAAATAACAGCAATTGCCTGCAAATCAGAAAGTAAAAGACTCCAGGATTTGAACTACAAAATCCAAATGACCCAGAAGGAGAAATTGCTCATGCTGTCCTCCATGCTAATTACCACGTTGCATCCAAACAGTTTTGGGTGCTGATCCTGCGGGGAAGGGGTTAAGTGGGTTATACTGACTCAGTGAGGCAGGTGACTCGTTACCCTACATGGACATAAAGCGATTTGGAGGGACTCTCTGGGGAGAGGATCTAAGCCGCAGTGGTTCTCAATTAGGGCTTTGTGTGCCCCCGGGGGAAACATCAACTCATCTAGATATTTGCCTAGTTTTACAACAGGCTACATAAAAAGCACTAGCATTGTCAGTACAAACTAAAATTTCCTACAGTGACTTGTTTATACTGCTCTATATACTATACACTGAAATGTAAGTACAATATTTATATTCCCATTGATTTTATAATTATGGTAAAAATGAAAAAGTAAATTTTCAGTAATAGTGTGGCTGTGACACTTTTGTATTTTATGTCTGATTTTGTAAACAAGTAATTTTTAAGTGAGGTGAAACTTGGGGTATGCAAGACAAATCAGACCCTTGAAAGAAACCCTCTGCAGAAAAGGACCTAGGGGTTACAGTGGACAAGAAGCTGGATATGAGTCAACAGTGTGCCCTTGTTGCCAAGAAGGCCAATGGCATTTTCTGTTGTATAAGTAGGGGCATAGCGAGCAGATCGAGGGACGTGATCGTTCCCCTCTATTAGACATTGGTGAGGCCTCATCTGGAGTACTGTGTCCAGTTTTGGGCCCCACACTACAAGAAGGATGTGGAAAAATTGGAAAGCGTCCAGCGGAGGGCAACAAAAATGATTAGGGGGCTGGAGCACATGACTTATGAGGAGAGGCTGAGGGAACTGGGATTGTTTAGTCTGCAGAAGAGAAGAGTGAGGGGGGATTTGATAGCTGCTTTCAACTACCTGAAAGGGAGTTCCAAAGAGGATGGATCTAGACTGTTCTCAGTGGTAGCAGATAACAGAACAAGGAGTAATGGTCTCAAGTTGCAGTGGGGGAGGTTTAGGTTGGATATTAGGAAAAACTTTTTCACTAGGAGGGTGGTGAAGCACTGGAATGCGTTACCTAGGGAGGTGATGGAATCTCCTTCCTTAGAGGTTTTTATGGTCAGGCTTCACAAAGCCCTGGCTGGGATGATTTAGTTGGGGATTGGTCCTACTTTGAGCAGGGGGTTGGACTAGATGACCTCCTGAGGTCCCTTCCAACCCTGATATTCTATGATTCTATGAAGGGGGACAATGGTCGGGAAAGGTTGAGAGCCACTGATCTAGGGTGTGGGCTGAGCAGTCAGACCTGGGGAGTAGGCTTGATAGGATTCTCATAACATCTTATTGAGGGTTTCTGTGTTAATAAAGCCAAACCCCTGGGAGGAGACAAGTTTGGGTTTTACATGGTACATGAAATGATCTGTGTGTAGAGCAGATTGGGAAAGGCACCTACTCAAAGGGCCACTTGGTCAAAACCTTGAAGTTCAGCAGCTTATAGTATCAACTGTATGAGGTCAGCAAGTTGCCCTGAGAAGCAGACAGTAATCCCCATGCTCCATTAACAAATAATACAAAAAATAGTGCCTGGAAGTAAAGAAATTTGTTTCAAGACAAACACAATTACCTTCCTCCCTCCTTCCCTGCCTGGATAAGTGGATCCATTCAAATTTCTGCACACATTTAGAGAGAGAGAGAAATAGCGGGAGAGACCTCTAGAGTTAAGGTTGAAACTGAATTTCTACACAAACTCAAGCCACTTCTTCAATTGCTCATAACTGCAGGAAACAAATTCCTCTGGGGAATGAACTGTCTTTGCTTGGTCTCTGCCCAAAGGAGAATTCTCTTTTTTAATTTTAGCAAAATCTTTTCAGCCAGGTGTACACACACTTTAAAAAAAACCCACACCACTATTCCATCTGTTCTGATCAGAAATGTTATGTGCCTCATTCACCAATCACTGACTGAAACATGCCTCTCCCCTGCCCTATAGCTGACCTCCACTCCCCCCAGCAGAGCAGTTAATTAACTCACCTGCTCTAAATGGCAGCAATCATTTCATTGTTCAGCTAGCCTTGCAGGAGCAGGTTTTCCTCTTTCTACCCCAAGCGCTGGACACTGTATTGCAGCTGCAATTTGTATTCTCCCTGTAACTCGTTCCGCCGTCCAGCCCGGGGTCAGTGACATGCTGCACAGAGCCCATCCCAGGCTGATCGAATGTGGCCACCCAATACCTGTTTCCCAGTGTAGAGCTTAGCGACTGGTGTCAGCAGCCTGAGAAGATGCAGGTCCTGCTCACTGGCCATCTTGGTCTCCTCTAATCCCAGCAGCCTGGCTATCTCCATGAGCATGAGAAAGGCCCCTCGAGTTTCCACCTACAGGGAAAAGAGAAGCAGGGAGCAATCATGTGCAATCCCTATGGGCACAGGCATGCATCAGCCACAACTGACCTTGTACCAGGAGAATTACGCTGAATCACTACCAAGCCCCTGAAAGAGAAACTTGTCCCACCACGGCGACAAGCATTTGCATGATGTTACATTGCTCGGGGCAAGAAGGGAACAGAAGGTTTGGTTGGGTTTGGGGAAGTGAGCAGGGCCATACGTTGCTGCAGGTTGTTTTTTGGTGATTTGCCATAACAAACAATATTTTCTCCTCTGATCTCTGTAAAGCAGAGAAGGACCAAGCGGCTAAATCCAGACCCAGGTTTGAAACCCCTTCCACAGCCCGACTGAGCCATCAGAGCCAGAGTGCAGGTTCGCTCCCAGCTCACTCCAGATCCTCAGTCCTGTTTGTCTGTGTATTGTTATTATTTATTTCTATTACAGCAGGGCCTAGAGCTCCTGAGCAGGATCAGGGCCCCATTGTGCCAGGTGCTGCACAGACAGAGTGGGAGGCACCCACCCTCTGAAGTGCTTACAGTCCCCATAGAGTTTAAATAATACAGCACCATGTACTGCACCAGGGATCCCACAAATTGCTCAGGGACCATTTTGGACATGGCTGAAACCCACTCGGGGGTGCTCTGTCCACCTCTACTGGTGGCTGGGTCTCCTGTCAAAGTTAATGAGCCAGCTATGGCCTTGGCTAATGGAGCTGAGCCTCTGAGGCCGCTGAGGCTCATGCTTTGAGATCCAGAGGTCCCAGGCTCCATTACGTGCCCTAAGGCAAGGTATAGCCTGCACTGAGGTTACATGGGCATCCATGCACTTCTGTGAGGAACAGCACTACACCTGCCTGCTACCTACGTAAATCCAGGCTCCTGTAGAGAGGCTGGATTCCTGCTCAGCTCAAACCCTGCTGGAGTGCGTGTTACATCCCTGTCTAATATGCCATAGATCGATATTAGCCAGTTCTGGCAGCCCTTACGCCTAAGCAGGTTTGAGTAGGGTGACCATATATCCCGATTTTATAGGGACAGTCCCGATTTTGTGGTCTTTTTCTTATATAGGCTCCTATTACCCCTCCCCCCCCTCCCCCGTCCCGATTTTTCATACTTGCTGTCTGGTCACCTTAGGTTTGAGAGCAGCGGTAACAAAACTCCACAGAGCTCAGACCAGCCTGGTTATGAACACCAGTGGTGGGCTGGCCTTGCTGATTAACAGCTCCCTGCGGCAGTGCTGAATCTTTGCCTTGCGTATGAGTGAGTGGCGAGCCAGCTGAGTGCGAGGAAGCCTTACCTCCAGCCGGGCCACGGTCTACATGTGCAAGGGATGGTCCTTGATGAGCTTCCCAAAGACAACCCGCTTGCTGGCATACTCTCTGGCCAGGTTAATCATCCTAGGGACGAAAGGGCAGTCAGGCAAGGATGGTTAGTGGCTGCAGCCTTTACATTCCCATATATATTAAACCCATTTCCTAACTTCCCCTTTGAGCCATTCACAGCTTGGGGTTGCAGAATAACCCCGCCATGGCAGATGGAAGTGACACTGTACTGTCAGCCTAGGAGACAGCTAACCCGCAGCAGTGCTCACTTTTCCCCATCACCCCAGCAAACCTCTTCCCGCTCACCCGCCTGTTGTCAAGTGCTGAAGGCTGGAATGCTGTTGCCTTGGTAATACTGTTTAGGCTGCTCAGCGCATCTGTCCTTGGACTAGCAGCTAATGCAGCCTGCCAACTGAGCAGACCTCGATGTCACTTATAAAGAGAGGCTTACGGTGACAGAGGCACTCGGCCTGGTGTATTACCCTCAAGTTGCAGTCCTAGCACCCTGGCTCCATGGTTACAGGAATGCTAACACCAGTATGAAGTGTGCTGTAGCTCACGAAAGCTTATGCTCAAATAAATTGGTTAGTCTCTAAGGTGCCACAAGTACTCCTTTTCTTTTTGCGAATACAGACTAACACGGCTGCTACTCTGAAATGTGGCAAGGAGTGGCTCAGTCAACAGCAAGAGTCTCTGCTGTCCCCTAGGCCACACGAAGGGTTAAGGTGAGGGACCCTGGCATTTACAGCCTGAGACAAACAACTTACCTACCACCCTGCCAGTTTCAGGACATGTTTGTTACCTCCCCTTGTGCCTGATATCTCAGACACAACATCCCTATTCATTGTTCTGTTAAACCATCGGCTCTTGTGCAAGATTGGGATGTATCTGTACTAGCCTTCTGAAAGGTATCTGCGTAAATATTTAGTGTGTTATTCTTTTGCCAAGGCCAGGCCTACTTTGGTTTACAGCCTTTGGTTCAGGCCTCAAATCTGGCACTAGGCGCAGTGCTCCAGGCTCTCTCTCTGTTACACCGCCTAGCTCCCAGTTATTATTCGTGATCATGTTTAGGGTGGTATTGCCAAAGGCCCAGCTACGAAGGGGGGCCCCTTTTGCTAGGCGCTGTCCTGAGTAGTGGACAGTCTCTGCCCTGAACTGCGTCCAGTCTCAGTAGATCAGACAGATGTGGGCTGGGAGGAGGCAGAACACGCCAGTGCACATGGCATGTTAGTGCCGTGAAAGAGAGGGGGCAGGGCAGGGGAAGGAGAGTAAATGGTAGGCATGAAGTGCCGCTACGGGGAAGAGATGGTGAGGGAGGGGAAGGGGAGGGCTGGAGCAAACAACCAATCAGCACCAAGCAGAGAAAGTCAGCAAAGGTCCTACAGCGTTAACTGGAATGTCCAGAGGTGCCTGCCTTGGCGGCTTCTGCCCATGCCCACTGGAGTCTCTGGCTGGCTGTCTTCTCCCCAAGGCCACATGGCAGGGGTGGGGGGAGGCACCGCCTGGGTCCTAGCACAAAGTTTCTCTGTAGGATGTTTCTGGCCCCCAGTCCTGCCCCAGTGGATGCTTTGGGAGGGTCTAACATGGCTCTGGCATGTCGGTCTCAATGCCAGCTCAGGCAAGAATTGCCCATGTGATGCTGGCATGATCCTCAAGGAGGACAAACCTGCTGCAACCATCCCTCAGGTCCCTGGGGAGTTTGTCATGGTCTTTCCCTCCACCCCTGCTAGTTCACACCTTCCCACTACCTCCTGAGCTCCTACCCTGAGTGGATGCTGATGCGCCTCCCCCATCCCACCCAGAGGGGCAGCAGCGACAAACCCTTCTCTTGCACTCCCTGGCTGCCCCAGCAACACCACTAGGAGAAACACCAGTCCCTGAACCACTGCTGGCTCCCCACACCCGCATACACATGCCACGTTCATCCCTGGTGCTGCTGCACACCTCCCTTCCCAGCCTCACCCCTGAGCTCGTGGTGACAGCAGCATCTTCTCTCCACCATTCCCCAGCTGTGGGGACACGAGTGGAACCTCCACTATCCCCCGATTTGGATCCAGCCGGGCTCACGTATTCATAGGTGGCTGGTGCCCTGTTGTGCTGGATGCTCGTCAATCTCTGACTGGGGCCCCGGGGTGCTGCTATAACACCGACAGTAGCCAGAGTGGCTCAGGATCTAGCTTGAGCCACCACATGTCCTGCTGAATTGGGAGGGGGAGCAGCTGCCAGAGGAACACTTCAGAGCCCCTACGGGTGGAAGGTCAATGGAGCTTTGTCAATTTACATTTCTTCACCTGGAGAGCTATTGAGGGGAACAACGTACATTTGGGGGCATTCTTTGCGACTCTTAAGACAGGAGGTTGCCCAGCAAGTGTGGCCTCTTGCATAGGCTCTTTTCAGAGTGGCAGCCGTGTTAGTCTGTATTCGCAAAAAGAAAAGGAGTACTTGTGGCACCTTAGAGACTAACCAGTTTATTTGAGCATAAGCTTTCGTGAGCTACAGCTCACTTCATCGGATGCATCGGGCATACCATCACAGGGCCTAATCACATCAGCCACACTATCAGAGGCTCGTTCACCTGCGCATCTACCAATGTGATATATGCCATCATGTGCCAGCAATGCCCCTCTGCCATGTACATTGGTCAAACTGGACAGTCTCTACGTAAAAAAATAAATGGACACAAATCAGATGTCAAGAATTATAACATTCATAAACCAGTCGGAGAACACTTCAATCTCTCTGGTCACTCGATCTCAGACCTAAAGGTCGCAATATTACAATAAAAAGACTTCAAAAACAGACTCCCCCCCCCGCTCTCCTGCTGGTAGTAGCTCACCTTACCTGATCACTCTTGTTACAGTGTGTATGGTAACACCCATTTTTTCATATTCTGTGTGTATATAAATCTCCTCACTGTATTTTCTACTGAATGCATCCGATGAAGTGAGCTGTAGCTCACGAAAGCTTATGCTGAAATAAATTGGTTAGTCTCTAAGGTGCCACTAGTACTCCTTTTCTTTTTGCATAGGCTCTGCTGAAATTATTATCTGCCCTGCTGTAGTGCCTAGGACCCCCCTATGCTAGGCACTTACAAACACAGAGCTAAGAGGCGGACCCTGCCCAGAGCAGCTCACAAGCTGAGCCAAAATTAGGAAGTCCTACTTGAAACAAAAACTGCAAACAGGAAGTTTGAAAGCCAGGATGTTGTGAGATAGAAACAACCTTCTCCTCCCACTTCCCTGCAGCACTTAGCTCCCAGATGCAGCCACACCACAGCCCAGTGTGGCTCATAGCAGCAACGCAAAGCGGAGCCCCTTTGTCCGCCTGGCTGCTCCCCCAGGGGCCTGGAGATCCATGTGGGCTTCACCTCCTCATGCCAGCCACTGCTGAGATGACATTGTGGATCCTAGTTATGGTCAACATGTTGGCAATGGAAGCCACACCCCGACCCTCTGCAGAGATCTGAAAGCATCAAGGAACAAAGGCTAGAATAAATCCCACAATGAATCTTCTTGGGAGCGGAGTGTGTCCATGGGCTGGTGGAAATGGACTCTTCCCTCCATCTCAATCATAGAATCTCAGGGTTGGAAGGGACCTCAGGAGGTCATCTAGTCCAAACCCCTGCTCAAAGCAGGACCAATCCCCAATTTTTGCCCCAGATCCCTAAGTGGCCCCCTCAAGGATTGAACTCACAAGCCTGGGTTTAGCAGGCCAATGTTCAAACCACTGAGCTATATCCGTCCCCCCACACCGAGCTATCCCTCCCCCAATCTGGCTCAGTCACCTGAAAAATCTGACTTCTTGCCTGGAACTCCCCCCCATGTTACCATGTGTGTGTCTGCCAGCTCAGCGCACTGAGTAGGGGAGAGCCACCTGATCTCGTGGATTGCGATCTGCCCACTGCTGCCCTGGCATACCCGGTGTGCCTGGGCTCCATCCAGCAGCAGCTCAGCTGTTGGCACCTGCCTCGTCCCCAGCTTCTCCTTTAGCCTTTGCACCTCAATGCCATTCAGCTTCCCCTCCTTATCTCGCACCTCCAAGAAGAACAGGGACAGGCCTCTGGAGCCCTGCACAGAAGCACATGTAAGATCCCTTCACTGCAGGGAGTTCTACATAGGCTGAAGGAGGAGGATTTGGCTGTGATGAAGAATGGAAGGGGAGGAAAACAATTTATCTGCCACCTCCCTGGGCTCCACTGGGAAACTAACCTGTTCTACACGTCCCTGAGCATCCATGATCCTTGCCAGGGTCAGCGTCATGTCTGAATCAGTGGCTGATGTAAACCATTTAAAACCGTAGAGGCAATATGTGCCATCTGGCTGCTCTCTGGCCACTGACTCTGTGCCACTAGCTGCAAAAAAAGAGCACAAGATCTTGACTTTAGGGGAAGCATCTGTGACAGGCAATGCTGGCTTGTGGCTTAAGCAGCACCTCCTCAAATTGCTCTACGCTGTCAAGATGAAACATGGATCAGCAACTAATCCCCTTCACTGTCCTTGGGTGAAGTGCAAGCAGGGTAGAATACCCACGCCTCCCTAGAAAAGGAGCCCAGCTAGAGTGTGAGCAGCCCACAGCAATTGCTCCAGGCTAACAGCAAACACTGGCAGCGCTGATAGGAGAGGAATGCAGCATGACTTATAGGCACAGTGATGCAACGCCATCAGGGCTCCCATTCCACCAAGAATGGCAAGGGGCGCTCTGTACCCAGGAGTCCTGCAGTCTTGCCTCACCCAACAGCATTCACTCTTCAGCTGGCCCTTTAATTTCTCCCAACAGGGAATTACACCTCGCCTTCCAGGATCCTGCTGAGGGGAACACTCCCCTCCCAGAGTCCTCTGTCTCCAATATGCAGTGTTGAGATTTCCCTGCGTGCTTAAACCCCCATATCGCCAACATTTGCATGGGAACAAGAGCGGGGGACTAGCATTGGAAACAGCGTCTTCCAGAGTCCTCTGTCCCATCACAGCAGATGCTGGCTGGAACACCTCTGCTGCCCGTGTTCAGGGCTGAACTTCCAGAGGTGGGCGCAGGGCATTCTCTGTGGAGGGTCAATGGCTCTAGACAGCTGAGTGGGTGTGTGGTAGTGGCCTGGAAGATCTGTTCTGTTGTGTGTTTGTGGCAACAGGACAGATTGTCAGACCATCTGTGGGGGGGGGGGGGGGGGGAGGAGGAAATGTATGGCTTCCCTTGGTTTTAATCCACTGCGTGGTTTTGAAAACAGCCCCAGTTGTTTTACGTCCTTGTTAACACGACCCACTCTGGTCGCACTGGCCTTGCCGGTCAGCAAAGAAATGTGGCCCTACGGAGGCTGCCGCTGGAGATGCCTTCAACCTGTGACGCCTACCGACATCAGAGCCTCCTTTGCGTTCCGTCATCCACTGGCCAGAGGTCCAGAACTTCCTGGGCTCGCGTGATGTCAGGTGGCCAAAAGCTTTCACTAGAGGCCCTGAAAGACCAAGAGACTGGGGGCGGGAGCGGGAGGGGGAGAGAAAACCAAGAATTTCTTGAGAGAAAGATCCAGAAAGGCCAGCTACACATTTCACTGACAACGTTCATGGACTCAACGGGGAGAGGATTCCACCTTCCTCTGAGGCATCAGAGATCAGCCAGAGCTAGAGACAGGACACCAAACAGGCGGACCAGCACTCTGAGGTGGTACAGAGAATCCTCTTTCCAGATTCCTGGCTGGTGGGTCTTGCTCATGTGCTCAAGGTCACACTGATATCCAGATTTGGGGTTAGAAAGGAGTTTTTCCCCAGGTGAGATTGGCAAGGGCCATGGTTTTTTTCCCACCTCCTTCTGCAGCATGGCACATGGATCACCTGCTGGGACCACCCAGGCATATCCCACCTAATCAATTTCCTGCCATTGCAGAGCCTTGGGCACTGGTGGCACCTCAATGTCTTCAGTTCTCTCACTGTGACACACAATTTAGGACTGAAATGCTTTAGTCTAAGTAAAGTCTCCATAGAGGCATCTCTGGGTGGTGGTGGCAGCCTGCGACATACAGGAGGTAAGACTAGATGATCTAATAGTCCCTTCTGGCCTTAAACGCTGCAAAACAATTGTCTTCACAAGCTGCAGAGGGTCATCCAGGAACCTGTCCCTGGGTCAGAATAGGCAAACTCTAGACAGGGCAGGGAATCTTTCAATGTCCTGAATCCCTGTGTGTCTGGTGACTGCTGCTGAGTCTCAGAAATGGCCCAGCGTGTCCGTGGGAGAGGGCTGAGAGTAGCATTGTACAGAGATAAGATCCAGACTCCATTACACAGGTACACGTCCTGGGAGATGCTGAGCACCCTCAGCTCCCCCTGACTTCAGCACGTCTAGAGATTTGGCCCAAGAGTTTCCGCAGCAGCCTATGCACCAGGGTACAATGTACATCGCCAGTGCACAGCAAGCTGGAGGGAGGACAAGGCCCTTAGGATTATTTGCTCACTGTACAAAGGCCAAGCTATGCTGGTGGGCTCAGGGCCTGATTCTCCCCTGCTCTGTACCTTGTGTAGGCACAGACACCTGTGCAAACCTGGCCAAATCCTCAGCCCTGGGAAGTCAATGGAGCTCAGCTAATTACACCAGTTGAGGATCTGGCCATGGCGTTTAGCACCCACTTTGCACAAGTGTAAGTGACTGAACAAGGTGTAAGGAAATGGAGAATCAGGCATTTGTGGCCTTGAAGTGAAAGTACCTGGAAGGCCATTTATTGTAATTATTTATTATTTGCATTACAGTAACAGCTAGAACAGTGTGGGTCCCAGGCCCCACACCGCTCCCGGAAGCGGCCAGCGTGCCCCGCAGCCCTGGGAGCTGGGGGTGGGGGGTGTCTCCCTCAGCACGCTACTCCTGCCTGCAAGCACCGCCCCTGTAGCTCCCATTGGCTGGGAATGGGGAGCTGGTGCTTGCAGAGAGGGGCCGCGCGTGGAGCCATGTGCCGCCTGCCCCCTCCCAGGGGCCACAGGGGCGTGTTGGCCCCTTCCGGGTGCGACGTGGGGCCGGGGTAGGGAGAGAGCCTGACTTAGCCTTGCTGCACTGCCAGAGGTAAATGCTGCCCAGCAGGAGGCTGCGCCCCAACCCCCAGCCCTGAGCCCCCTCCTGGAGCCAGCACCCCAAACCCTCTCCTGCACCCCAAACTCCTTCCTGCACCCCAAACCCCAGCCCTGACCCCACTCCCAGAGCCAGCACCCTGTACCCCCTCTTGCACCCCAACACTCTGCCCCAGCCCAGAGCCCTCTCCTGCACCCAAACTCCCTCCCAGAGCTTGCACCCCTGATCCCCTCCTGCACCTCAACCCCCTGCCCCAGGCTCAGCCCAGAGCCCCCTTCCACACTGCGAATCCCTCGGCCCCAGCCCAGAGCCCGCACCCCCTCCCAAACCCTTACCCCAGCCCGGTGAAAGTGGGGGAGAGTGAGTGACGGGAGGGGGGGAATGGAGTGCATGGGGCGGGGCTTTGGGGAAGGGGTGGGGCCTCGGGGAAGGGGCGGGGTAGATTCTGGGTTGCCCTTAAATTCCAAAAGTGATCTTGGGCATAAAAAGGTTGGAGACCACTGAGCTAGAGGCTTCGTCGGAGAGCAGAACCCCACTGTGCTCTGTGCTGAATTCAAATGTAGTACGGGCACTTCTCGGCACAATGAGCTTGAAATCTCACTAGACAGGACACCAATGACTCGTCTACGCAAGAAACTTGCATCAGTGCAGCTGCACTGCTGCCGTGCTCTCCCAGGGATATGCACTGCCCACACTGGACGCAGGTCGGCGTGACTACAGCATGCGGGGGGGATCAGTCACACCCGTGAGGGATGTGGGGACACCAATGGCCCTTTGTAGTGTAGACCAGGGCTGAGGCACAGAACAGGGAACTGACTTACTCAGAACCACCGAGCAGGTCTGTGGCAGAGCCAGGAACAGAACCCAGCTCTTCTGGATCTCGTCCAGCACCCTAGCCACGATGCCATGCTGCCTCTGCAACAAATGTAGACACCTGCAATGAAGTAGCCTGTGCTGATGAGTGACTGGCTGTGTTCTTACCTCAATGACTTTAGCTGCTCCATCAGTCATGGCCAGTGGGCAGGTAAAGAGGCCAGCGGAGGGCGCGTATAAGTACAGCTTGGCAACCTGGTACACACGGCTACCGAAGAAAGAGATCAGGAATGAACGTGCCGCACAGCAATTCAGCCGTAGTGAGGAGGAAGGTTCCCGGTTTGGAGAGAGAAGTGGGTGCAGCCATAAAAACTGGAGAGTATCAGGACCACCCAGCTCTGTGAGTACAAGAGGAACAGTCTCCAATCCAAACCAGTCTATGGCAGGGTAGGAACCGGAGTCCTGGCCCAAGGGCTAGTAGAACCAGGACACAAATGAGCCCCAGGCTTGTGCCCTGGTAGGCAGCATGCAGGGAGTGCAGTTCTAGAGCACGGTAATAACTGAGAGCTCCTCAAAATTGCTGGTGAGCCAGATCCAGCCCTGTGTTATTCCAGTTTTATGTCAGGGTATTCCAGTGCAGTGTATGTGTGTGACAAGCTGGAGTGAGTGAGTGAGTGAGTTAGGCCCCCAGAGTGATGAAGGAACATGGTGACATGTTAGAAGATTATGAAAAATTATAGGCAGTGAGGACTGATTACTGATGATGTGGTGTGTTACAGTGGGCAGAAACACTGCTGTTCTTTCCAGTGGGGTAGGGGTGAGTCTGCCTATACAGCATTTATTACCCATGAGAAGACGGGGGACCCAATCCCGCGATGTGCTGAACATCAACTTTTGAGGCTTAACCTGCACCATGCACAGGATTGGGCCCTGGACAATGCACATGCCTGAGCCTGTGTAGTGGTTTTGATACCCATGTGGTTACCTCCAGTTGGAGTATCTCCTCTCGTAGGCCTCAGCAATCAGCCCCTCCTCTGCTGCAATCTCCTTCATCCTCTTCCAGGCTGGGCAAGTGACAATGTGGTCCACACGCCGCCCCCAAGCATCATAGTGCTGCAGTGCAGGAGGATTCAACTCGCACTCATGCCCCAGAGCGTCAATCTCGGCTGCCACACGGGCCCCAAACCTCTCCAGATCCAGACTCACCTTCTCCAGCACCTGCAAGGCAGCCCCGAGGAGACCTCAGAACACACTCGGTGGGGTGAGGAACCTGCAGGCAGTCCCTGAAATGTCCGTCAAGGCAAAGGATGGACCCTGTTCCTGGATGGCACTAACCATCTCTTTGCCCACCCTGTCCCCTCTGGGCTGCTCCTTCGGTGGCATCTCTTATGAGTTGGGACAGCAGCCTCTCCCTTAGCCTGGGATCAGAGGGTCACTCCGCTGTCACGCTGCCTCCACATTCTCCTCTCCTTTTGCAAAGCAAATCACCCACCCCTCTGGATTTTCCAGACGGCAACAGAGATTTAACGTCCACCAGACCCTGAGAGAGCAGCACACAGGCACTCATTTACTGATAACAGGGACACTAGCGGGAGAGTCTGCCAGAGCCATCTGTAGAGGAAGGAGTAATGACCGCTCCATTCGATGAGGAAAGGAAGATGGCTCAGTAGTTTGGGCCCTAGCCTGGGACTTGGGGAACCCAGGGTCCATTCTCTGCTCCGCCAGCGACTCCCTGTGTGGACCTGGACAAGTCACTTCTCTCTGGGCCTCAGTTCCTATCTATAACATGTGATCAGGATGCCCTATCTCCCAGAAGTGTAGTGAGGCTAAGTACTGCCAAGCTTGTGAGACACGCTGGTACTAGGTAACAGGGGCCATAGAAGTAGCTAAGACTTCTTCCTGCTAAGAGCTGATCTTTTCTGTACTCCTAACCATGACACCTGACACTGCCCTTGCAGGGATCTCTCTTCCCTCCAATATGGGGCAAGGCTCTTTTATCAGAAGGGACATAGTTATGGAGATGAAGTTCCTGAGGCCTGACACTACACAGGCTCTGCTGCTGTGACGCATGGCCAGAAAGGGTTAAGCGTCCTGCAAAATAAATGACTCAAATGCAACACTTAAAGCCATATGGGAAGAGAATGTTTGTGGTTTTGTATATTTAAACATATATGAGGTAGTGGTCAACAATATAATCAACAGTCCCTGTCTATGCTGTATTCTGTTAATTCAGAGATCAAAAGAAAATCCTAGCATTTAAATGAATTGTAAACATAGGAAATCGCTGTATTCATCTCTCTTCAAAGTTTATAGCAAATCATCAGTGAATGGTGGAAAAAACGGGCAATTGCCTTATGTTAATCTGTGTGAATAATTAACGACGATGCTTAGGACATGAGGGCCTGTTGTTCCCCGAGGGACTCCAACCTGTCAAAGGCAGCTTGAAATTGTATAAAATATCCTTGGGTCCCAATCTTTTTTATCTCAGATCTGCTTAAACTTCATCAGGGGAAGTTTGAGTCACAAGATGAGATCCCAGTTATGCTGGTACACCCTGGATATGATATTGGACATTGGACTATAACCTATGGACTAAATTCTAAAAGAACTCTTTGCAACTACAAAGCTCACCATCCCTGCTATAAATCTGAACCTCAAGAAATGAACTCATGTCTGTATGTTATATTGATCTTTTAACCAACACTCTCTCTCTTTCCTTTTTTAATAAATTTTAGTTTAGTTAATAAGAATTGGCTGTAAGCGTGCATTTGGATAAGATCTGGAATATTCATTAATCTGGGAGATAATGTGTCTGATCCTTTGGGATTGGTAGAACCTTTTTATATGACGAAATAAGATTTTCATCAATTTTCATCCTATCTGACTTGGGTAACTAGGTGGAGGCCTGAGGCTGGGTCACTTTAAGGGAACTGTGTTTTGGACTTTGAGTGACCAGAAAGGTATAACAGAAACTGTTTAGTGCTGGCTTGGTAAATCTAAGTATTAAGATTTCCACCAGCTTTGGAGTCCTCTGCCCCATTCTTTGCAGTTCACCCTAGTAGAGTGACCTCGGCTGGCTCCCCTGGGCATCCGGTCACAGCAGCCACCGTAACAGCAGGGCTCCCTAGAGCAGATGCAGTGTATGCTGACAGAAGGAAGAATTCTGCCAGCACCATCTCTCTGAACAACATTAGCTTTGTCAGCACAGATGTGTATAAACTGGGGTTTTGTAAGCAGAGTTATATCAGCTGGGGGAGAGGGGAGGGTGTTAAACATCCCTGCCCAACTTCACTAAGGTGACAAAACTTTACAGCGTAGACCTGACTTTAGTTGCTGGGCCGGAGTAGAGAGATTATAAGACATCCTCCCATTGGATGTTGATGAAATACAAACATTACTTTTTCCTTTCCTTGGTACCAAAGTACATATTGTCTTTTCATTAAAAAACACCCTAGATGATCACCTTCTTTCTCATTTTTCCTTTCAAACTGGATAACCAGGATACAATATATATTTTCCAGTTAACTCTTTGAATACTCCATCCTTCATATCAACCAGTTTTCTCCCAGGCTACCCCATCCTAAAAGATCAAGCTGTGTGCCCGGGGGATCAGGGGAGAGCTAACACCTCCTGGAGGTCTGTGTATCAATCCCACAGTGGTGAGGCAAGGGTTAAGGAGCTGCTCTGGACACGGGAAGTCACACCCCCTCGCCTCAGCTGGGCAGGCTCCCAGGGGCGGGAGCATTTGAAAAGGAGCAACTCCATTCCGTCTCGCCGGACCAAGGAGGAGAGCAGCCGGGTGCAGCAACCTCCTGCTGAGAAGCCGCTGGGACGGAGCCTCCTAGCCAAGTCGCTGGAAGCCCATCAGCTGTAGGAGCCAAGGGTGACAACTTGCTATCACTAGGGGAAGGGGCTCCAGAGAAGCCAGGAGAGATCCCAAGACACTGTGACCCCAATGGAAGTACAGAGATCAGGGACAGGAAGTAACTTGGAGGGGTAAATAAGGGTACCAGACCCTAGGCCACAGATATGGTCTACGTTAGAACCCAGTGGAGTAGGGTGAGCCTGGGTTCCCCTAGCCCCCTGCCTTGGGACTATGGCCGCTAGGCAGAGTGGATTTTGACTCTTGCCTTTGGGCAATGCTACCGGGGACTATAGCCACTAGGCAGAGTGGCCCTGGACACTTGCCACTAGGTGGTACTGCCAGCTTAGGGCACCCAGGCAGCCCCTGACAAGGGCCTCGTAGGGCCAGGTGGCTTCCATGACCCCAAAACAGGCCTGTGCCTTACAGGCACAGTCTAAGAGTCCAAGTTGCATGTGCTTAACTGTTCTGGAATTTTCCCTGAAAATGCAAGAGCCCCGGGGCCTCCCGACCTGTTAATCTCAGTCGAGAAGCAGAGCATGACCTCAGTAGGTAAGTCTCCAAACGGTGACAAAGTGTAAGCAGAGTCAAGATGAGCTCTACCCTGACATCTGGTGGTGAGTCATGGTGGGTTGTGGAAAAGAACTTTAGGGGCTGAACTCATTTGCATAGGCACACCCACCCTGCCTAGATGGTCACTTTGGCTGCTGTAGGAGCCCCAGTTTCTCTGTTATTGGGGCAGGAATAAACTGTTATTATCCTGATTATGTGAATCAAGGACAGTGAAACTGTACTTGTTCTTTTGTTATGATGGAGGGACTCACCATCAACTATGCAGCACTCGCTAGGCAAGGGTCATGGGTTCCAAAACCCAGTGAATAAAGAGAGGCATTAATACTTGGTAGCATGGGCCTCACATGCTTATTGCATGGGTCTTACATGCTAATTGCATTTTCTCCTTTCTCCACTGTAGAATATCAGAGCTAATTTTGATTCCATTAGGAGTCTAGTTACAGGCTGCTGAGCTGAATTCACTTTGGGCTAATGGTGCACCAGCACTGAGGCTCCCCTACTACAAGCTGAAATCATAAAAGAGCTAAACTTACTAAGAGGTGAAATCACTGAGTGTTGTGTTAAGTAGTGGGGGAGTCTGAAGATATATTGCGGAGCAGTTTGTGGGACGGTTGGCAGAGCAGAGCAGCTCTTGGAGCAGAGCAGTTTGTGGGATGCCTGGAGCGGCTCATGGTGATGGCTGGCAGAGAGGAGCAATGCCTGGAACGGCTGGTGGAGCGGAGCAGAGCCCCATGGAGAGGTGGGGCAATCAGCTTTGGACCACGTAAGGTGCCCCTTAACACCCCCCCCCATCTCCACCCAGGTTGGGAGGTAAAGCTCTGTAGTTAAACTTTCGAACTCTGGTGCTGCACTGACCAGGGACAAAGACTTTTGGGGTGTTGGACTTTTGGGACTTTGGGTGATTTTGGGTTGCTGGACTCAAGAACCCAAGGGAAAGGTCACGCCACAATTTGCTTGGGGTGGGTTTTTTGCTCATGGGTTGTGTTATGAATCCTGTTGGTGGTGTTTCCCCAACATAATGCCACATTGTTTCTCTCTGTTATTAAAAGGCTTTGCTACACTCAGACTCTGTGCTTGCGAGAGGGAAAGTATTGCCTCTTGGAGGTGACCAGCGGGGGTGGTATATATTTGTCCCAGGTCACTGGGTGGGGGCTCGAGACAGTTTTGCATTGTGTTATTGGAATGGAACCCCTGGATACTGAACCCGGCCCTTGTTGCTACCAACGCTGATGGGCAGAAGGGTTACAGAGGTAAAACATGATCATGAGCTTGCAGCAAACCCAGAGTGCTGTGCTTTGTTCACCTCCAAGCAAAGTGTCCCCACCCTCCAGGAGGGGAGAGACTGGCAACCTGCCTGGTAATTCACACGCACTCCAAATGGACCTGCCACAATTACCTTTGTAATTCAGGATGTTGCCCAAGAGTTCTAATAGGCGTGTTGCCTACCACCTGGTAGAAAGAGATCACTGTCCCTGCATTTGTGACCACAGAACATAACATCCCAGCAGCATCTTAATGGTGCTCTTCCACTAGGATCATCCACGAACCATCTAGTCCAAAGCAGAATTCGCTAACTGCCATGCAGCCTCATTCAGTGCTTAACTGTATTCAGTGCTCGGATAGCCCAGTGGTCGGTGTGTTAGAAATGTTTTAACACAGAGATGATAGAGAGATGATCCCTTACGCTACAGGGCATTTTACAGAGAGATGGAGGAGTTCCATCTCTTTCAGTGATGGGGAAGCTCAGCAATGCAGAAACCAAGTGTTCACAAATCTGTATTATCACTTCTACAGTCAGACCTGTTTTCACGACTAGAAACAGAAGACGCTTCCTGTAGGATTCATACAGGGTTCATGCGCTTGGCAACATTCAGGGCACACCTGGAGTGTTGTATAGGAGCTGTGCACACACAGCTCCTCTCAAGGGCATGAACCTTGGAATCTCGCCCAGATGACATGAACCGTGGGAAGCCTCCCAGGACTGGGCTCAAGGCCCGAGAGCAAGGAATGTGGTAGATAGAAATTGGTAAATAAGAATGTTAAACAAAGCCAGTGTATTCCTTTTATCTGTTGGAGAATGTAATGCGCGGCGGGAGACAAAAAGAACAAAGGAGAGGGTGGAAAGCTGACAGGCAGAAGTCCGTTGGCATACCAGCTTGCTTGCTTGCTTAAAGCTTTGTGCTGTCTTGTCACTGAACCGCAACGGCTTCCCTAGAGGGAGATGGGCTCCCCCAGCACCAAAAATAACCACACATAGGAACAGAGGAGTGGCAGAGCCGGAAGAGTACCCAGAAGTTACCTACTACAGAACAGGCCCAGCAAAGAAAATAACAGAACGCCACTAGCCATTACCTTCAGCCCCCAACGAAAACCTCTCCAACGCATCATCAAGGATCTACAACCTATTCTGAAGGACGACCCATCACTCTCACAGATCTTGGGAGACAGGCCAGTCCTCGCTTACAGACAGCCCCCCAACCTGAAGCAAATACTCACCAGCAACCACACACCACACAACAGAACCACTAACCCAGGAACCTATCCTTGCAACAAAGCCCATTGCCAACTGTGTCCGCATATCTATGCGGGGGACACGATCACAGGGCCAAATCTCATCAGCCACACTATCAGAGGCTCATTTACCTGCGCATCTACCAAGGTTATATATGCCATCATGTGCCAGCAATGCCCCTCTGCCAGGTACATTGGTCAAACTGGACAGTCCCTACGTAAAAGAATAAATGGACACAAATCAGACGTCAAGAATTATAACGTTCAAAAACCAGTTGGAGAACACTTCAATCTCTCTGGTCACTCAATCACAGACCTAAAAGTTGCAATTCTTCAACAAAAAAACTTCAAAAACAGACTCCAATGAGAGACTGCTGAATTGGAATAAATTTGCAAACTGGATACAATTAACTTAGGCTTGAATAGAGACTGGGAGTGGCTAGGTCATTACACAAATTGAATCTATTTCCCCATGTTAAGTATCCTGAGCAGGAAAGCTGGAAAAATGTGTATAGTGGGGGTGTGAAAGCTATTGAACCAAACTGTAAACCCTGAATATAACAGAAACCACTTCAAGCCAGTGGGTGGAGCAGCACCCCCAGCACTGCTAATTCCAGCACCTATACTCTGCGACGATACCGAGAGCCTGAAAAGGTGTCCACAATCTCAGCAACAGGGGGTTGTGCTGCGCACACAACACATACACACACAGGTCAAACCTGGGGTGGCAGGCGTGTTTTCAAGTAACGCTGAAGGAAAGCATCTTCTAGGTACTGATTTCCAATCCTGGGCTGCTCTTGGAAAAAGGTCCCAATTTCAGTCCTGGCAAATGGCACCTTCAGCTCTTGCAAGGTGCATTTGTCCCAGGTCTCAACTTTCTGACTCTGACCCGCCGACATCTTGGTTCCTCTACAGCTCAGCTTTGGGCACCGAGGCAGGAGGCAGCCCAGCTTCCACCGCTTGTGATTGGTCCCAGGGCTCCACGTAGATAAATGACTGACACGCCTGACCCTGCAGAACATGACAGGGGGTTAGTCCAATTGCTGGTGTTCAGAACTGCCCTGGGTTCAATCCTGAGTCCACGACTGTGTCTGTGTTTAATCGCAGGAGCCCTTCAGTAGCTCAGAAAGCAACTCAAGGAACTCTTCTTGTTTCCCCTCCCTCTGGGGCTGAGGTTCCAGCAGCCACTGGCTGCCGAGTGGAGCAAAGGTCCAGGAGGGAGGAGAGAGAAGCACCAATAAGAGTGCATGTGGGCAACATTTATGCTGGCTCTTCTTGCCTGTCTGTCAAACCACTGATTTGAACCCGCCTATTTGTGACACTCCCAGAGCTGGGGACTAGGGAGAAGTTCTCAGAGCTGGGGACTAGGGAGAACAGGATGTGATGTGATAGTCTGCAAGTAATAACGCAAAGTGCACACAATTGGAGAGACGAGGAGGGGAAATACCACCACCACCACCACCGAACTGAACCAAAAACCCACCCTCAGCGTGAACTCGTTCCCGGCTCGTTGGCCTGTTTCTCGGGGCTGTGGCGGGCGCCCGGGCGTTTGCATCTTTCCCGGGGCCAGTTGCGCATCTGGGCATGAAGCTGATGAGCCCGCCCGGACTTCAGGCCGCAGGGAAAGGCCTCGAGCGCCTTCCCCCTTTACCCGTCCTCCGGCCCAGGGGTCTGGACGGGTCAGCCAGGAAACAGGAGAGCAACAACGTGCCTCGACGGTGGCGTCGGCGGCTCCAGCCCCGAGCCCGGGGCTCGAAGTCACAGCCGGGCTGCGAGAGGGCAGGCGAGCAGCCAGAGCCGGCGGCCACCGGAGCAGGGGGTGAGGGACGAAGCTGGGCCCAAGGGTGCCGCACCCAGCCCGTCCCAGCGCTTCCCAGGCCAGGCGCCCCAGGGGCTGCTGCGGGGCTGCTGGAGAGACGGGCCGGAGGCCCGGGGCCAGGGCTCGAACCCTCCCCCATTTCACCCCCTTTGTGGCGGGGTGCGGGCAAGGAACCGCAGGCGGACTCAGGGCGCCCTGGGGTCCGAGGCAGGGCGGCGCCCGGAGCGGGAGCCCTGGGAGGCTGCTTCTGCCCGCGCCCCCCGGGCCGGGCCCCCCGGGGAGCCGCTGCCTGCCGGCCGGGGGCGACCCTGCTGAGGGGGCGGGTGCAGGGCGCAGCGCGCGCCGCGCGGGAAACCGAGACCGCGGGCGCTGGGGGGAGGGGGCGGGGCCTGAGCTCGGGGTGCTGGAGGAGGAGGGGGCGGGGCCTGAGCGCGAGGCTCTGGAGGGGGCGGGGCCTCAGAGCGGGGCGGGGGAGGGCGGGGCCTGAGCACGGGCCTTGGAGGGCGGGGTCTGGGCGCGGGGAGCTGGGGGCGGGGTGTGGGGCCAGGCGGGCTCCGCTCTTGCTCGGTCGATCGCGGGGCGGCGCAAGGCTCCTGAGTCCCTGGTGAGGTACCGGCTGCGGGAGGGGCCTGGCTCATCGAGACCCCCCCCCCACACACAGAGCCTGAGGGGGCGGTGTCCCCCGGATCCCCCTCAGCCTCCCCCCCCAAACCACGCTCTGGGGGGGCGGCGTCCCCCTGATCCCCCTCAGCCTCCCCCCCCAAACCACGCTCTGAGGGGGCGGCGTCCCCCGGATCCCCCTCAGCCTCCCCCCCCAAACCACGCTCTGGGGGGGCGGCGTCCCCCTGATCCCCCTCAGCCTCCCCCCCAAACCACGCTCTGAGGGGGCGGCGTCCCCCGGATCCCCCTCAGCCTCCCCCCCCAAACCACGCTCTGAGGGGGCGGCGTCCCCCGGATCCCCCTCAGCCTCCCCCCCCAAACCACGCTCTGAGGGGGCGGCGTCCCCCGGATCCCCCTCAGCCTCCCCCCCCAAACCACGCTCTGAGGGGGCGGCGTCCCCCGGATTCCCCTCAGCCTCCCCCCCCCCAAACCACGCTCTGAGGGGGCGGCGTCCCCCGGATCCCCCTCAGCATTCCCCCCCCAAACCACGCTCTGAGGGGGCGGTGTCCCCCGGATCCCCCTCAGCCTCCCCCCCAAACCACGCTCTGAGGGGGCGGTGTCCCCCGGATCCCCCTCAGCCTCCCCCCCCCAAACCACGCTCTGAGGGGGCGGCGTCCCCCGGATCCCCCTCAGCATTCCCCCAAGCGACACTCTGAGGGGGCGGCGTCCCCCGGATCCCTCTCAGCCCCCAAACACACCCAGAGAGGGGTGATATTCCCCCTTAGATCCCCACCCGTCCCACTCTACTGCACTCCGTGGGGGGGCAGTGTTCTCCCAGCTCCCCATCTGCACACACACCTATATGTTGGATGGGAGCTGTACTTGGAGCCCCTTTTGTCCCTCTCCATATGCTCTCTGTGGACACATGGTTAATCCTTGCTGCGTTAATAGGTAGCCTAATAGTCCTTCCTGCTTTAATACTTGGCCTTGACAATCGGAAGAACTTCATAGTTGAATATTTAGAGGATTGGTGCCAAATTTTCAAGCCCCCCAACTTGTGTGGCCTGTGGGCCAAGTGTTGTGATAGAGCAGAATCTGGCCATGTGCCTTTATGCACCGTACTTTACACAGATCATCCAAGCCCAATAATTACCCCCTGTAAAAGAAAATCTACATGAGCCTGTGGTCCAAGAGCATGTGCCTCATTTACTGGGCTTCTCTTCTCACGTTACTGATGTAATCAGGAGTAGTTCCATTGGCAATATGATCCAGCGTGTGTTTCACAGAAATCCCCATCTGCCTTTTCCTTCGTATATCTGGAGCTGGGAATGATAACTTTTGAAAAAGTGGTGAAATGCTAAGGCTGAGACCCAGCAACTCTGGGGTTACGATCCTTGCTCTGCAATTGACTATATGTGGCCTGGGTATGTCACTTATCAAAAGTAGCCAGTACTGTCTCAATTTGAGACACCTAAGACATCCCTACAGTAAATCAAAGTGCGCTAAAAATCAGGAGCCAGATTCTGATTTTATTTATACCAGTGTAAATTGGGAATAACTCTATTGATTACAGTGAGTGACTCTGGATTTTCATGGTGAACTGAGATCAGAATCAGGCTCCAGGTCACTTACTCAGGTATCTAATTATGGGCTTAGGTGAGTAAGTGTAGGCATCCTCAAGTTGGAAGGTGTAGGCTTTAACTGCTCAGGGAAACTGAGGCACAATCTGGGAATTGTGTGTAGGAAAGATAGGAAGTATGGCAAGACACTGCCCTGGCTTACCCAGGAAATCGTCAGTGATCTAAAATTCAAAAAAGAGTCCTACAAAAAGTAGAAACTCGGTCAAATTACAAAGGATGAATATAAACAAATAACACAAGTATGTATGGACAAAAATGGAAAAGCTCAGGCACAAAACGAGATCAAACTAGCTAGGCATATAAAAGGAAACAAGAAAACATTCTACGGAATACATTAGAGGCAAAAGGAAGACCAAGAACAGAATAGGCCCGTTACTCAATGAGCTGGGAAAGACCATAACAAAAAAAGTGGAAGTGGCAGAGGTGCTTAATGACTTCTTTGTTTCGGTTTTCACCAAGAAGGGTGGTGGCGATTGGACATCTAAAATAGCGAATGCCAGTGAAAATGAGGTAGGATCAGAGTCTAAAATAAGGAAAGAACAAGTCAAAAATTACTTAGACAAGTTAGATGTCTTCAAATCACCAGGGCCTGATGAAATGCATCATAGAATACTCAAGGAGCTGACTGAGGAGATATCTGAACCATTAGCAATTATCTTTGAAAAGTCATGGAAGACCGGAGACATTCCAGAAGACTAGAAAAGGACAGATATAGTGCCCATCTATAAAAAGGGAAATAAGGACAACCCGGGGAATTACAGACCAGTCAGCTTAATTTCTTTACCCAGAAAGATAATGGAGCAAATAATTAAGCAGTCAATTTGTAAACACCTAGCAGATAATAAGGTGATAAAGAACAATCAGCATGGATTTGTCAAGAACAAATTGTGTCAAACCAATCTTCTAGCTTGGGAGGGAGGGATAGCTCAATGGTTTCAACATTGGCCCCCTAAACCCAGGGTTGTGAGTTCAATCCTTGAGGGGGACATTTAGGGATCGGGGCAAAAATTGGGGATCGGTCCTGCTTTGACCAGGGGGTTGGACTAGATGACCTCCTGAGGTCCCTTCCAACCCTGAGATTCTATGATTCTTTCTTTGACAGGGTAACAAGCCTTGTGTATGGGGGAAGTGGTAGATGTGGTATATCTTGACTTTAGTAAGGCTTTTGATACTGTCTTGCATGACCTTCTCATAAAGAAACTAGGGAAATACAACCTAAATGGAGCTACTATAAGGTGGGTGCATAACTGGTTGGAAAATCATTCCCAGAGAGTAGTTATCAGTGGTTCACAGTCATGCTGGAAGGGCATAATGAGTGGGCTCCTGCAGGGATCAGTTCTGGGTCTGGTTTGGTTCAATATCTTCATCAATGATTTAGGTAATGGCATAGAGAGCACACTTATAAAGTTTGCGGATGATACCAAGCTGGGAGGGGTTGCAAGTGCTTTGGAAGTTAGGATCCAGACAATACAGGAAGTTTTTGGGGAGTGTTGGGGACAACTTCCTGGTACAAGTGCTGGAGGAACCAACTGCAGCTGTGCTCCTCTTGACCTGCTGGTTACAAACAGGGAAGAATTGGTTGGGGAAGTAGAATTGGGTGGCAACCTAGGCAGCAGTGATCATGAGATGGTTGAGTTCAGGATCCTGAAAAAAGGAAGAAAGGAGAGTAGCAAAATACGGACCCTGGACTTCTGAAAAGCAGACTTAGATTCCCTTAGGGAAATGATAGGCAGGATCCCCTGGGAGGCTAACATGAGGGGGCAAAGAGGCCAGGAGAGCTGGCTGTATTTTAAAGAAGCCTTATTGAGGGCACAGGAACAAACCATCCCAAAGTCCAGAAAGAATAGCAAATATGGCAGGCGACCAGCGTAGCTTAACAGTGAAATCTTTGGTGAGTTTAAACTCAAAAAGGAAGCTTACAAGAAGTGGAAATTTGGACAGATGACTAGGGAGGAGTATAAAAATATTGCCAGAGCATGCAGGGGTGTAATCAGGAAGGCCTAGGCACAATTGGACTTGCAGCTAGCAAGGGATGTGAAGGGTAGCAAGAAGGGTTTCTACAGGTATGTTAGCAGCAAGAAGCAGGTCAGGGAAAGTGTGGGACCCTTAGTGAATGGGGGAGGCAACATAGTGACAGATGATGTGGAAAAAGCTGAAGTACTCAATGCTTTTTTTGCTTCCGTCTTCACAGACAAGGTCAGCTCCCAGACTGCTGCAGTGGGCAACGCAGCATGGGGAGTAGGTGAGCAGCCCTCAGTGGTCAAAGAACAGGTTAAGTCCATGGGTCCAGATCTAATGCATCCAAGGGTGCTGAGGGAGTTGGCTGATGTGATTGCAGAGCCATTGGCCATTATCTTTGAAAATTTGTGTCAATCTGGGGAGGTCCTGGACGATTGGAAAAAGGCAAATATAGTGCCCATATTTAAAAAAGGGAAAAAAGAGAACCCGGGGAACTACAGACGTCACTTCAGTCCCTGGCAAAATCATGGAGCAGGTCCTCAAGGAATCCATTTTGAAGCATTTGGATGAGAGGAAGGCAATCAGGAACAGTCAACATGGATTCACCAAGGTCAAGTCAAGCCTGACTAATTTAATTGCCTTCTATGACGAGATAATTGGCTCTGTGGATATGGAGAAAGCAGTGGATATGATATATCTTGACTTTAGCAAAGCTTTTGATAGGGTCTCCCACAGTATTCTTGCCAGGAAGTTATCATAGAATCATAGAATATCAGGGTTGGAAGGGACCTCAGGAGGTCATCTAGTCCAACCTCCTGCTCAAAGCAGGACCGATCCCCAATTAAATCATCCCAGCCTGGGCTTTGTCAAGCCTGACCTTAAAAACTTCTACGGAAGGAGAGTCCACCACCTCCCTTGGGAACGCATTCCAGTGTTTCACCACCCTCCTGGTGAAAAAGTTTTTCCTAATATCCAACCTAAATCTCCCCCACTGCAACTTGAGACCATTACTCCTTGTTCTGTCATCTGCTACCACGAGAACAGTCTAGAGCCATCCTCTTTGGAACCCCCTTTCAGGTAGTTGAAAGCAGCTATCAAATCCCCCCTCATTCTTCTCTTCCGTAGACTAAACATCCCCAGTTCCCTCAGCCTCTCCTCATAAGTCATGTGTTCCAGTCCCCTAATCATTTTTGTTGCCCTCTGCTGGACACTTTCCAATTTTTCCACATCCTTCTTGTAGTGTGGGGCCCAAAACTGGACACAGTACTCCAGATGAGGCCTCACCAATGTCAAATGGAGGGGAACGATCACGTCCCTCGATCTGCTGTCAATGCCCCTACATATACAGCCCAAAATGCCATTGGCCTTCTTGGCAACAAGGGCACACTGTTGACTCATATCCAGC